CGAGTGTTCAGCCATTATTCGGTGTTACGTATGCACATTGGGCTACTTTCTTCCTATTCGGCCGAATACCGAATATGTGGATGATATCCACCGACCGAATACAGAATACCTGTAATCACAGCCTCTATACCACTGCTGGGCACAGGCCTCCCCTCATTTCGGAGAGGGTTTTAGGGCAAGGAAGTGTTCGCCGCGCTGCCCCAATGCGTGTTGGCGAACTTCACATGTCTACGATTTTTTTTCTTATTTCTCAGACATGCAGGTTTCCTCACGATGTTTTCCTTCATCAGCACGTGGTAAATACTTGAGTATTACTATAGAACTATTACAGAATACTTGAGTAAAATGTTTTGTTGTGATCAGATAATTGGTAAAATAAAATATTGATTTATTTTATAATGATGTATTTTTATTATAATCTTTGAAATAGTCACAGTTATATAATCAACTTCCATATTATAAAAAATAACAAAAAAACTATCTGATAATGTCTATGCACTTGAATTTTCGTAATTAAAGTGAAAGATTATGGCGCAGAAAATGTTGTGCAGTTTTCTGCACTTTCAGTCAGTAGTTTAATAATTTCTTCTCGTTGACAATTCCAGGTTCCGAGAATAGACGCTCTGAATAAAAAACAGCACTTCCTTCCCAACCGAATACTTTTCCCTAATATTTGTCTATTCAGCCAGGAAGTCCGCAGAATGTTCGGTATTCGGCGTGTGGCCGAATATACCATTCGTTGCAAGTCTAATAAAAAGATATCTCCGCCGCGAACTATAGTTCGTTTATTTATTAGAAGAAAATGTCACACCCTGAGAGAGAAACTTCGTTATCGTTGCAAAAAATTATAGCCCACTGCTGAACATAGGCCTCCCCCATTGATTGTCCATAGGGGGGATATTTGCCATTGACGCCACGCCAGTCAAGTGTGTTGGCAACCGTAGTTGTTTTATTGTAGTATTGCTGTTATCAGAAAGATGCTGCTGCCCATATCCTGCCTCAGTTTCCCTCTGTCGCCTCTTACGACACCCACGGAAAGACATGAGGTAGTGGATATTCTTACACCGCTACCACTACACGGCAGAAAGGCTAAACTTCTAACAATCTATTTTTTTTTCATTCATTCCACTGCTCACTCCAAATTGACTGTCTCATAAGGGAAATATGTTCCCTTGGCAGGTGGACTGTCAACCGTAGGTCTTTATTAGTTGTTATGAGAAAGTTGGTGCGGCCTATCATCTGGTTTGTTTCTTTTCATCGCCTCTTACAAGTCGCGACACGTAAGTCTGAACAAAACGTGGAGGGGACGCGTACGAATTGAATTTTTTTTATTGGAGAGGGGGCAAACGAGCATACGGCTCACCTGATGGTAAGTGATTACCGCCGCCCATGAACAACTGCAACACCAGAGGAACCAGGGGAATTACAGATACGTTGCCGGTCTTTTAAAAAGGAGTAGGCTCTTTTCTTGAAGGTCCCTAAGTGGTATCGGTCCGGAAACATCGCTGGTGGTCGATTCCACAAGGAAGTTGTGCGAGGAAGAAAACATCTTCTAAATCGCACAGTGGTGGACCGCCAATTATCCAGATGGTGTGGATGGTATCGGGAGTTCTGCCGCGATGTGCGTTCGAGAGATTTGGCAGCTGGGATTAATCCGAAGAATTCCTCAGAGCACTCCCCGTGGTAAATGCGAAAGAAAATGCAAAGAGATGCAACATCTCTTCGCAGCGCCAATGAGTCGAGCCGATCGGAAAGGACTCGGTCATCGACGATTCGAGCCGCTCTGCGCTGGATGCGGTCAAGTGAAAGGGGCTAGCACTGGGGAGCCCCAGCCTAGAGATGGGAACAGTATTCCATGTGAGGCCGACCCTGCGCCTTCTAAAGTTGCAGGCGTTGTGCTGGCATGAAATACTGTCCGGCTCTGCTGAGCACGCCAAGCTTTTTAGAGGCCAATTTGTCCTTCTCTTCCAAGTGACCACGAAACTGCACGTCACTGGATATGTCGACGCTGAGGATTCCGATACTGGCTGAGGCAACAAGCGGAGTGCCTTGAAATTGAGGAGATACGACAAAGGGGATCGTTTTAGCGGTAAACGCGCAAATTTGTGTCTTCTGAGGATTAAACTGGACTAGATTTAGTCGCCCCCAATCCGAGACTTTGTTCAACAAAGTCTTTTCCAATCAGCACGGTGCGAACGTAACGCATGAGCCAATCAGTGTGACTTATGCGCAATAAGCCAATCAGCGCGGCTTATGCACAATAACGGTCAAAGCTAAACTTTCGTGCCGCTACATATACGACACCCACGGGGCATTATGGGGTAGTGCATATACTTGCATCCCCACTAGATCGTTTTCAAACTTTATTTAATTTAAGCAACTTACATTTTGTTTAAATAATTTACACAAATTAGTAATATTAATAAAAAAAACTTCAACAAACATCGAATTGAATCACAACAAAAACTTAACAATAAAATTGGCGTCTCCCGTCAAATCATGCATCACATTTTACCCACCTACCAAGTTATGCTGTGGAATATTAATTAAATAGATTTTAAAAACACACGCAGTCTTGTTACATAAACGTGGTTAATTGATAGTAACGGATTTAAAGAAGAGTCTCTCATGAAAGAAGACTTAACCACGGGACCAGTATTTGCTAAATTTAACATGGTCTGGCAAACACCATACTTTACATTTCATTTCATATAATTTCCATGGGACTCCTTATTAAAAACAAGGAGCCGTCCAGGCTTCGTCTGACCAATCAGTAAATGTAATAAAGTGTAAATAAACAAATGGTTAAAACATCATGGAGTATTTGTTTTATAATTTTGCCGAATTCACATAAAATCTTCTAGTGATTTAGATAAAATATAACCTAGATCCCTTCTGGTATTTCTCTCTATCTGTTCGTAAAATTTCATCACAATCGGTGCAGGAATTTCAAAGATTAGCCAGGACTGACAGAAAAACAGACAGACAATTTTTTTGAATTATTTATGTCTTAACAACGTGCAAATAACCCCCTGAGCCGTTAATTTACACTGACGGATGACACTTCAATTTTATTCAAATGTCAAAAAAAAGCATTATACATACAGACTAGTTTGAACAATAAAAAGAACATTAAAAACGACTTTTTTATTATAGGACGGGCAATGATCTTAATTAGCAAATTCGGGCGGTATCTTTACCTGAATCATGCTACAAATATGTGGTACAGTTTTGGCGCTTTCATTTTCATGCAATTAAAAAGAATATAAGAAACATAATTATTTTATATTTCATCATCGATAAGTAGCGTCGTAAGCGATGAATGTATTTGGGCAATAGTGTGTTCCTTTCCTTTAATTATATAAGTCAGCCATTCGCCAGATCTTTTGAAAGTTAAACAAAACAAAACAATTCTATCCTTAACTTTTTTTATTGTAAAGACGGCGCGCTATGTACATTTTTAAATGTAACGTAAAACCAAACCAAAATCATGCTCGATTTATTGTAAAAACACGCACTTACGTACACATAAATATGTATCTTAAATCATTTGCCAACAACATGGCTTTAGGTGCATGTGTACGTTCACGTCGTGACGTGAAAAAGAATGAAAGAAGAAAGATGTTTGCGTAAGTGCGTGTCAAGAAGTTGAGCATTATATTAGCGTCACATAAAATGTACGCATTTTACGTGGTAGAGCCACGCTGCAGCTATTTGAATTTTAGCACGAATGGATCGGCACGACTGGGATAGGACCACACTCTAACAGAATACCAGCTTAAAGCGTAAAATAGCATCTTAAAGTTGCTGTGTTTCGTATTTAGAGAACTGGAGACCCCCTTTAACCCCCTTTAATGGAAACGAGGCATACCATCTTAGTCCTCAGAGGTGACAACGCATCTGCATTTTGCTTCCCAATCGTGGATAGATATAGTTATATCTATGGGCCACAGCATCCACTTACCATCAGGTGGACTGTGTGCTCGTTTGTAACTCTAATTCTATAAAAAAAAAACGCAGCGCACCGTCTGTCTTTCTTTGTTGCTCTGAGTGTACCGTGCGGTATTTTATGATCATTATCTCTTTTAATCAACATTTCAAACTACGTTAGTTTTTTTGTTTTTTACTTAAAGTAAGTTAAAACTAGTCATAGTTTTTGAGTCGAAATATTTCGTACACGTGAAAAATGCTTGTCTATTTTGTTATTTAACAATTAAATATTTTGTTTCTTACATAATCAAATATTTAAGAAACAAAATATTTATCAACGGATGTTTCACGCTCCGTGTCTTTATTTTGTTTTTTTTTTAAAAACTTAAGTGAAGAACCACAGTTTAGTTACAAGATTTATAAGAGCCACGCTGCAGCTATATTACTGGTACAGTTGTAGCACGAATGAGTCGGCTCGACCGGGGAAGGACACGCTCTCACAGAATATAATATGTAGAAATAATATTATATACACATATAATAATAAGTACAACACTATCTATCTTAAACTAAAACTCACACAGAATACCAGCGTAAAATAGCAGCTTAACGCTGCTGTGTTTCGTATGGTGAGTGTAGAGAAACGGAGGCCAGATATATATTTTTACTGGAAACGAGGCATTCCATCTTAGTTTTCACCGCTGACAACACATCTGCATTATGATTCGCAAAATGTCTATGGCCACAGCAACTACTTACCAAATGGTGGACTGTGTGCTCGTTTGTCACCCTTACCCTATAAAAAATATGATGGTAAGTTTGCTGCTGCAGTCTATGGGCAATTGCAGTAAACATCATACAAAGAATATAGATTTTTTTATTGATTTTGCCAGTTGTTATACTAACCTGCTATTTGTAGAAATAAATAAGGAGGTTGAACGGAATTCTTGGTAGAAAAAGAGCCCTATCACCTTTGTAATACGAAACAGTTTTTTTTATTGCTGGGAAACATTATGAAAGAGGTTATATCAAATCCGCAACTTATTGAATTTCGTATTATCAGGTGCAGAATGTCACAGAACTGCAAATCAACGTATACAGCTGCGACTACGCGGGACGCGAACAACAACACGCTGTACCATAGTGGTGCTGCGACAGGATACGGCAACAGAGGGTACACACCGCCAAGCAAGAACGGCAGTGGGAATTATCAGGTACCACACATTGATTTGTATTACTTAGTAACATCACTGAGGGAACTCGTGTTGCACTGTGGGCACCGTGGCATTTTTAGGTAATGTTTTCCTATACGTACCAGTCAGAACTTTATAAGAAAGGCATTAACATGCATACTGTATTGCCCTAAATTCACTGACATATGAAATTTGCTAATCATGTGGTCCCGCGTTTGCGTGTCCTCTGGAATAACAACGCGTCTGCATTTTGATTCTTATTAAGTTTAGATGTCTAAATTAAATTTCTCTTGGCAACAGGATCCACTTACAATCAGGTAGACTGTGTGCACGTTTTTCAGCCTTATACTATAATAAATCTAAATTCGGGTGTGTTGTCACCTCTAATGACTCAAATGAGCAACCAGTAGTATTCCAGTAAAAAAAATCTTAATTTTTCTACAATCACCATACGAAACACGGCAGCAAAATGCTGCTATTTTATGCTGGTATTCTGTAAGAGCGTGGTCCGTCTCAGGTAGACCTGACCCATTCGTGTTACAACCATAGATAAATAGATAGAAAATTCTTTATTACACTCAAACCAACAAACATTTGGTACAAAGGCGAACTTAATGCCGAAAAGGCAATCTCTGCCAGCTAACCTTTGGTAGAGTGGTGAGAGCCATGGGTAGAGGAGCAACAGAAAAAAACTAACTTATTTTTACATATTATTCCAAAAATATAATTTAATATAAATATGTTACTTTATACATGTTTATACTTCTTGTACACACATATAGACAGATATACAAATGTAATGTAAACCATTATATAGCTGCAGCGTGGCTCTGCTACGTAAACTTAGTAAAGAGCTAGGATAATTCTAGGACATGTTCTAAGGCACTTCATGTTAGTCTTCAGAAATGTTAAAACAGCTGCTGTCTTTTTTTTATTTGAAGTTTCCATTTCCACTCATATTTCCATGAATAATGTTCTCCAGACCGAATTTCTATCACGGTGGCCAATGTCAGTAGAGTCTAGCTATCTGCGTCGGGCACAAACTATCTATTACCTCACTCTCACTATCCGATGGGACGGCACTCCAAAACGCCCAGAACGATATCATTCTCAGACCAACGGCATTACGTGTTTTATTTCTTTCGCACGCGTGCACTCACTATTGCCTCGCTCTGATTGTCCGGTTTTTTTTTATAGGATCGGGTGACAAACGAGCACACAGTCCACCTGATGGTAAGTGGTTACTGTGACCCATAGACATCTACATCTATCCTTAATAAAGACTCAAGATGGAGATGCGTTGTCACCCGTGAGGACTAAGATGGAATGCCTCTTTGCCAGTAAAAAGGGTCTCCGGTTCTCTACACTCACCATACGAAACACAGCAGCGTTAAGCTGCTATTTTACGCTGGTTTTCTATGAGAGCGTGGTCCTTCCCCGTTCGAGCCGACCCATTCGTGCTACAACCATAATATAGCTGCAACATGGCTCTACCACGTACGTGTCCGGTGGTACGGCGGTGACACACCTCTGGCTTCCTGACCTCGGGCTGCTATAACTTGGAAAAATAAACTCAATAACTAATTAGGCCCCACCCGGTATTTGAATCTGGGACTACATGTTCAGTAGTCGTGTTTACATTCACTAGACCCACCCGGCAGTTTTTTTTCGTTCAGTCATTTAAAACTAATTCTAATGTAATCATACTCGATATGGAAAGTTTTCAATCATTAAAAATAGTTGCAATTTTAAGATAAGAATTAATATAAAATAAAAACAAACACTCCATTTAGTTATGATACGATGTCATATTGGGTGAGGCCGACAGTACAAAATTATATGGGTCTTTGTATAATAGTAAAGTAAGGTATATTCATGCCAGGGAAAGTCTATATAGGTACATCTCACTACTGGGCACAGACCTTCTCACATTTCTGGGAGAGTTTTGTATGTAGCAGGTAATTACGTGGTAGAGCAATGCTGCAGCTATCTTAGTTGTATAGTTGAAGCACGAATGGGTCGACTCGACTGGAGAAGGACCATGCTCTCACAGAATACCAGCGTAAAATAGCAGCTTAATGCTGATGTGTTTCGTATGGTGAGTGTAGAGAACCGGAGACCCTTTTTACTGCAAACGAGGTATTCCATCTTAGTCCTCACGGGTGACAACGTATCTGCATCTTGATTCGCAATCGAGGATAAATGTAGATGTCTATGGGCCACAGCAACTACTTACTCTCAGGTGAGCTGTGTGCTCGCTTGTCACTTTAATTCTATAAAAAAAAAGGTAAATCCGCCGCGCTGCCCCAATACTTAGCAATATTTACATGTCATCGAAATATTTTTTTTAATTTCTTAGACACGCCAGTTTCATCGCTTACCTTCACCCCAGAACACGTGGCAAATTAAACCTTCAAATTGCAACTAACGATTTAATTGACGCTTGCGGGAATCGTACTTGAGTTACGCGCATAGTATGAAATTAAACTCCAAAAAACCGCTCTACCATTACAGCTGCAAGCACTGCCTTATAATAGTAAAAAAAAAAATCCGTGCGAATTTGAAAATATTCAAATCCTTCCAATTTTATGTTACCATTAATAAAAGGAATAAGCCACAAAAATGAAACGGGTCTTTTATAAAACATATAACTTTTGTATGAATAAATAATCAACTATGCGTTGGTCCCTGTGAAACGCCGCATTGCGCAAAAGTTGGCGCATTCGTTCTCCGAAGCGCAAATCACTTCGTAAAAATCGGCCATCGACAGACGGAAATTCGACCCATGTGGAGGGCAATATTGCCACGTCGCTCAACGCTATATAAATAATTTATTATCGCAATGATCTACTATTCAGGCTATATTTGAGACCTTTCGTTAAAGGCGTTTGACCCCTGTGGCTACATGACAGATGTTTTGAAAATAAAGGAAGGCTTATATTGGACTATAATTATTTTTCAAAAAAAAGTAAAAACCGACATCAAAGAATTAAAGAGAATATTCATTCAGCCCTTTACAAGTCCACTGCTGAACATAGGCCTCCGTCAAGGAATGCCAAAAAGCACAGTCCTGAGCCACCTGCATAGAGCGACTTCTTGCATGTCTTACCAGGTCGACACTCCAACTGGGGGGGAACCTTTCTTCCCCATCGGTTGACGGTTCTTCGAACTATATGGCCGGCCCATTGCCACTTCAGCTTACTAATCCGTTGCGCTATGTCGCTTACTGTGTTTTCTAGTGCGGATATCCTCTTTTTTAAGTCTATCACGCAGAGAAACCCCGAGCATAGCCCTCTCCATAAGTAATAAAAATAATATAATCATCGAAATCGGTGGACGTGGTAAATAATTATTCATCCACATATCGTCCCTTTGCAAATTGAAGACTTTGATAATTTACTCATTCATCCTGTCGTCAAATCTTGATTATATTTATTTTAAACAACCCCTGAGGTACCCGCTTTTTATCAAAAAAAAGCATATAAATCGGCCAACGTGATAATGAATTATCGCTGAACACACATAAAAAACATTCCGACGAAATGCGATCTTTTTACTATTCGTTTCTTCTACTTCTTCTACATCTTTAGCCTATTGAAGTCCACTGCTGGACATGACCCTCTCTCAATCTATAGATCATTTGTCTAATCTATCGGAAGCCGTGAGGTCTTTTTGGGATTTCACATCGTCGCTTCCTACGATACCCACGTAATGGAAGGAGATGATTGCTTCTATTAAGCTGCCCCAACGTATAGGTTTTTATCAGAAAAACTTGCATAATTTGCATACAAACTAACTAATTTTAATTGGGTTAATTAAATAGAGACTATTTGTATTAGAAGTGTTTCTAATATTTTATACGTCTTCAAAAAAAAGAGAGATTCTTGATGCGACTGTATTTTTTAAGCTTTCGTTTATAATGCTTTCTTCGTATGGTCTTTCTGGTTATAAATTGTAATCAATTTTTGAAGCATTTACTGACATCTGATTAAAATGATATTGGGCAAACTATGTAACTTCGATGACAATGCAGCAATATTATACTATGAAGCTGATCTCATAATGGACCCTGATACTGACCCTGGCAACTTCTATGAGAGCTTATATTTAAATAGATTTTATACTTATCTCTATGTTTAATACGTGATAGAGCCATGCTACAGCTGTATTAGTAGTATAGTTGTAGCACGAATGGGTCGGCTCGACCGGGGTAGGACCACGCTCTCACAGAATACCAGGGACTTAAAACGTTACAAATAACAGAATGTATATCGTTATAATAACGTTATAATGGTATCGTTACCTCTGCAAGCATAGCGTTTTCAATATTTAGTATAACGTTTAAAGAGTAACAGAACAAAATTGTGACAGGCAATTTAACGTTATTATAACGATAAAGACGCGACGTTGCCAAACCTATTCATTTTCAAAGGCGCGCAAATCTGAGCGACTTACGGGATGGGTGGGGCCTGGGATCCAATTGGTCTACTAGATAGCTTGGACGGACGAGGAATTCCTCGCACCGCACGCACTCCAGAAGCGAACTGGCAACGTTTTAAAGCGAATGAACATTTGATGATATCAACCGCTTGCGAATTGAGATTTGCGACCTATTAATAATTATACCTAGATATCATATTACTTATATTTATTTATTTTTTAAAATTGATTCAAACTACACTTGTTTACAAATATTGAAAATGAATCGTAAAAAATTAATAAATCTTATAGATATTTTAATCTTGATGAAAATAGTAAGACTTCAAAATGTTTAGTTGCTGGATGCGAAAAAGTTTTGAAGGTAAGTTAAGCAAAAATCGAAGATAACGTGTAGAACAATGCGCCTTTTCAGTCAGTTTTTATTAAGAAAAATATTGTATTTATATATGTACAGGGTCTCCTAGAAAACAGGACACCAACCTACTTTACCTTCTGTTAGAGCGTGGTCCTTCCCCGGTCGAGCCGATCCATTCGTACTACAACTATAGTACTAATATAGCTGCAGCCTGCAGCATAGCCTT